CATCCTAGGGCATAGACAGTGGGAATTAGTTGTTTAGTAGACTGATAGTATGGGGGGGGGGATTGTCTTTTTATCTGGTTTTTGTTTTAGCATGCAATGCCCTATAGCAAGGGTGTCAAACTCAAGTCCCGGGGGGCTGGATCCGGCCCGCGTGGTACTTAGATCTGGCCCATGGGGCCATCCTGGAAACAGCAAAGGACCAGCCTGTGTTGCCTCTGCCAGCAAAAACAGAGCTCAGGAGGGCTGCGGCCGGCCATCCTAAGCTCCATTTTTGCTGGCAGAGGGTTGTAGGAGGTCATCACAGCCAAAAATGGAGCTCAGGAGTGCTGCAGGCTGCCCTTCCAAGCTGTGTTTTCACATGCAGAGGCTTGCAGGAAGCTGTCACAGCCAAAAACAGAGCTCGGGAGTTCATTTTCACTAACAGAGTGCTCGGGCCACCACGGGCGCCCCCATGGGTGATGTCAAGCTGGCCATGCCCACTCTGGCCATGCCCACCCCCGCCCTGAAGTCAAACACAACCCTGATGCAGCACTCAATGAAATCGAGTTTGACACTCCTGCCCTATAGTATCATCTTGAGGGAAGAAGTTTAAACAGTTTTTGTCCAGGATGTGAGGGATCTGTAGATATTTTCACAACCCTCTTTCTGGCTCATGCAGTGTACAGGTCCTCAATGGAAGGCAGGCTGGTTGCCATTATTTTTTTCTGCAGTCCTAACTATCCATTGCATTCTGTTTCTGTCTTGTTTGGTTGATGTGCCAAACCAGACAGTTATAGAGGTACAAATGACAGATTCAATAATTCCTTTGTAGAACTGTATCAGTAGTTCCTTGGGCAGTCTGAGTTTTCTGAGTTGATGCAGGAAGAACATTCTTTGTTGTGCTGTTTTGATGATGTTTTTGATATTAGGTGTCTTGAGATATTATAGAACCTAGAAACATGAAGGTTTCTACTGTTGATACTGTTGTCTAGTATCATAAGAGGTGATAGAATAGAAGAGCTTCTCATAAAATCTATTATCTCTACAGTTTTGAGTGTACAGTTTCAGTTCAAGATTGTTCTGGTCACACCACAGGGCCAGTTGTTCAACTTCCTGTCTGTATGCAGATTCATCATCTTGAATGAGATCAATCATCTGCAAACTTCACTACTTTAACAGAAGGATTCTTTGAGATGCAGTCATTGGTATAGAGCAGGGGTGTCAAACTCATGTTGTCACAGTGGCATCATGTGATATATCGGGACTTTTTTCCCCTTTGCTAAACCGGGCATGGGTGTGGCCAGCATATGGCGTATCTGGCCTGCAAGCCGGGAGTTTGACAGCCCTAGTATAGAGAATAGAGTAATGGGGAGAGCTCACAAATCTGTGAGGCACCTGTGGTAATTGTACAGGTATCTGATGTGATTTCGCCTGCTGCTTCCTATTAGCTAGCTTATGATCCACTTACAAGTGTAGTCAGACACAGTTAGCTGAGTCAGTTTAGTGAGAAGAAGCTGAAGTCTACAAAAAGGACCCTTGCATAGGTCCTTGTAGATTCAAGATGTTGTAATATGTAGTGCAGTGCCATATTAACAGCATCATTTGCTACTCTGTTTGCTCGGTAGGCAAACTGCAAAATTAAAATAATCATTGGGCTTCTCTCCATGTTTTCTACTCAGCATGGGAAATGATCAGACCAAAGCACCCATTAAGCAATATGTAGGAGATACAGAACATTAAGTAGGCAGAACCCCAACTTTTATTGCCAGTGAATCCAACAGGTATTCTGCCTCTCCTTGACATAATTAACCTACCTCAAAGTATCTAGCAACTGGAGGACCTTTATACTGGCACTCAACTATTCTTAAAGGCTGATACAGGAAAATTCATTACCGAAGAAAGGTAATGCCCCTGTGACTGTGGGCATACAGAAACAACAGAGCATATTGTTCTCCAGTGCCTGTATTGCAAAGACATTTGTGCTAACCCCCTTTCACCATTTCATCATCACTGTATAAATATCCAGGGCCCACAGGACAATTTTATATTTCTTTGCTTGTGACAATATATAATGTTGCCAATCCTGAGCAGGACTTTATCATTTTAATAGGTCTAATTAATAAAAGCTCTTGGTAACAAATAACAGAGTGATCCAGTCTTTATATCTTACTAATAGTTTAAAAACAATGAAATGTACAGTAGTGCTTAATATCTATCAGACTGTTGCCTTAAAATAGCCTTAATGCATATTTAAACTGTTAGTTAATAATGTTTTATATTGCTATAGATTTATCCATATATTTTTTATTTCTTGTATTTGTTTAATGTCCCCCATGTTTTTAGACAGTTTGTATATGTGCTAGTTTTTTAAAATGTATTATTCTGTTTTTTAATATGTAATTTTTGTTTTAATGTTTTTAGCTTTTAAAAAAAATATTATTTGTATCCCACCCTTCTTATGATCATAATAAAGATTTGATTAGTATCTGCAATTTTCTTCTAAGACTTATTATTTTTAGTAGCTCTTATTAAGGGAAGCTTTTGGTAACAAACAACAGAGTGTTTTGGCCTTTATAGCCTAATCATAGTTTAAAAATAATGGAATGAGGCATAGATGCACATTCCCTTCTCTCTCATATGCTATGCAGATGGATTTTTCTTATTCACTCAAATTTGCATCATTCTCTAACTAATAATAATCAATTGATTGTTATGTTACTTTATGAACCAATGCTCAGTTGTATTCATATTTTTATGTCATTTTTCAATTGTTTAATCTCCCCATAGATTATCAGAAAACAAGGAAAAGGTCTCACACAGCATTTTGTCTAATGCTACGGTATGAACTGGAACTGTCTACTAAATTGCTGACAAATCCCCAATCGCCTCTTGAAATCTTCCTGATCTAAAAGGTGACTGGACCACACCATCCTAAATGGTTCTTCCCATTTGTAGACTTCTAGGATACCCAGAGTCCTCAGTTTCACAAAGGCAAAGGGCCAGTAGCAATGCATTCCACGTTCAGTTCATGTCTATCTGCTTCCAAGTAAAAACCAGCTTCATTCATCACAGCAACAACCCATTACAAGCTTATGGCTGCCATTAAGGGCATAAGCTCATGACCCAGTCTAGACTCTTCTCCCAGCATATAAAGATCCCATTGCCAGCCTCAAGATGATACCTAATGCTATGAAGTGATACATGTAATTATCTTAATATGGATAATTTTTAAAAAATTTAACCCCCCCCCAAAAAAATAGGTTAGATGTCACTTACCTCATAGCGATGTCTGTGTCGTTCTTCCACAAAAGCTTCATTGCCATAAAGATTCCCTAAAAAAAAATCACAAGCTTTTAAAAATATTCTGCTACTAACATTGTTTGTTTGCATTCTAATAATTTCTAATCAATTCTACAAAAGCTTAAGTACACAAACATTGTTCAGTAATCCAATTCGGAAAATTCATATCCTTGGCTTTGAGTTCTTTGGGTCCATTCCCCTCTCACCCTCCAGAGGAAAGGCAAAGATAAGAAGATATCCCAATTACGAGTCACAAAATGAAGGGAGAAACATATACAGTATGTGAAAAAGGAATTCCTCAAGAGCAGGGGTGTCAAACTCAATGTCATTGAGGGCTGCATCAGGGCTATAGTTGACCTCAGGGGGCCGGGCGGAGGTGGCCAACTAGGTGGGTGTGGCCAGCTTGACGCCACTCACTGGGCATGGCTGAATGGGTGGGTGTGGCCAAATGGGTGGGCATAGCCAGCTTGACACAACTCCCCAAACCATTGGCATGTTTCCTCTTTGCACTGGGCAGACTGGGCTGAAGCCACACTGGCCCAATGTTTCCTCTTCACTTTGGGTAGACTAGGCCGAAGCCATGCTGGCCTGGTGTTTCCTCTTCGCATTGGGTAGATTGGGCTGAAGCTACGCTGGCCCAATGTTTCCTCTTTGCATTGGATAGACCGGGCTGAAGCGATACGGGCCGGCCCCTTACATTTTCCAGGACGGCCCGGTGGGCTGGATCCGACCACATCGCAGGCCAGATTCGGCCCGTGGGTCTTGTGTTTGACACCCCTGCTCAAGAGAGCAGTGCTGAGGAAGACAGAATATCAATTCCAGCTCCACTAGGTGGATAAAGAGAGACACTTTTCAGGAAATATTTTGAGGTAGTAAAATACACATTCTTTATAAAGCTAAATATAAAAAATATATTTTTATATTCTATAAAAATAGAATATATTCTATTATACAATAGCATACAATGTAATAGTGCATTGTACTAATTAGTTCTTCCTGACTTAGTGCTAGTCCAGAAGGCAAATCAGATACTTTTATGGCAATATTGATCCCTATTCTATATCTCTGATGAAATCACCGTGTGTAAGTGGGTAAATTTGTTTAATAAATAAAATAAATCTCCTATATAATTAGTATACCCCTATGGCAGCTGCTCATATATAGGGAGCTGCAAATGTGATATGGATGGGAAATTCGATGGGAAGGAGGGAAAACATTCTATAAAAACTATCAGTCACAGCAGAAAGTAGGACTCAGGCTCAATAACCATTTCTTTCCACTTAAAGTGATTCCATGCTTGCTATTTACCCTCTTTCTAGTACATGGCAGACTCATCCATTAACTGTTGAAAAATAGCTCATATCAATTCTAATTTTTGCACTTGGTATTTATTTCCCCAACATAGTAGCTACTATAGCAGACATAAGTTATAAAGAACAGTCCTTCCTCTCTAATTTTTTCTCAAGCTGACTTGAGCATTTCTGCAAGCTCTGCTCTGGAAAGCAACCATGATTTATTTTTTTGTTTATTTATAGAGCTGCCCAACTCTGCAGTGACTATAGGTAGCATACGAAGATTAAAAACACCACCATCACAGAATACAAATCATGATGCCTTGGTTCAAAAAACAAACACCGCACCACCACCACAAAGTTACATTACCAGCAAAGCTCACCTAACCTCCTGGTCTTGTGTAAGTTATATTGATGCCCCAAGCTGAAAGCATGTAAGTTATTGGTGCCATGACATAAACAGTCCATTATGAGGAGATGCCCTTGGCAAGCTTCATGTCATGGCAAACAGTATGTGAGTATAAGCAGTCTGGGCCCCATTTAACAACCCCATTACAAGGTACAAGAATTAGGAAAGTTTTCTAAATCTGTCCTTTGAAAAGCCATAACAAGCCAATGAGACTAATCCTAAATTAGGTGAACTGATGAATCATCAGATAAAGATTGTTTATTTTATTTAGCATGTTGTGCAAATGTAACCCTTATAGTTTCTAAACCACATTTATAGCTTAGTGACCCAGTTAGTTATGGTTTCTTCAATGATCATTAAGAAGAATGTTAATAGGTTTGGCATTTGCCAAGTTCATAACTTGAATGATTCATGTTATATTTATTGAACTATAATGTTGGTAGATTTCTTTGTGAAATCAGCTTTCATGCAAATAAATGTAGTATTATTCAAGAACAGGAAATATTTGAACAAATATGTAATATAGCAATAATCATAAGGGACAAACTATGCTTGATTCCTAAAGAACCTAGAAAATGAAGTTTAAAGGAAAAATATAAAGAGGTCAGTTGGAAAATAAATTAGACTGTAATATATTTTGGACCACTGGTCTATGCTAGTAAATCTAATTTTTATAACCCAGACATTTTTTCTAATTCCTGTTTGGTTCAAACTGTGCAAAGTGCTCATTTTAAGGAGACAATAAAAACAGGCATACAGTTCCAAAGAGGTTACAGACTAGCAAATAAATTTTATTCAATTCAAGTTCATGCTAAATGCAAAAGTTGAATAATTGGGGGATATGGAATATGTTCTTCACAATGATTTTATTCATTTTTATGATTATACAGTTACTACCTGAATACCTGTGCTCCACTATGAAACTATGTGATTGGGCTTGATAAATTGACTTAGTTTGAAAATTAATTAGTTACGATCAGCCTCTCCTCTCCCCTTCTCTCCCTCAGGCTGGCCCATAGATCCTCTCCTCTCCCCTTCTCTCCTTCAGCCTTGCCCCACAGAAACGCCTCCTATCCTATCCCCTTCTCTCCCTCAGGCTTTCTAGTCCCTTCTCTCCATGAGGCTTGCCCCATAGAAGCCTGTCCTATGCTATCCCATTCTCTTCAGAGTTATTTTCAAGTTGGGAGGGGGAGTAGAACATCTAACTAATTAGCATCAGAGTGTGTTATAATATAGGAAATACTAATGCTCTGATGATCATTTCGAAAAATCCTTTCTTAGTGAGCACCTAGAAGCCAAGAGGAACATAATGTGGCAAATTTCAAGTTTGTAGGCTTTACGTTCTGGAGATTTCGTGATTAATGTGAGAGTATTTTTCACTTTCATAAATTTAGATTAGTATCCTATCTAACCTAATGCTTCTGAAAGGGTCCCTGAAGGATCAGAGCTGAAAGGTTTAGAGCATATACAGAGTGTAATCTAATTCAGCTTTTGTTAATTGCTGTTGAAAGAAGCTCCATTGTAACCTAACATGCCTACTGTATAGATAAAACTTCTAGGTGAATTGTCAAGCTTAGCCTAGCAAAGTAACTTCTTGTGAAAAGTAATGCTGCCAAGTAACCTTGCTTGTAACTGAAAATGTATGTTCTCAGCAATAGCATTCCCTAACAAAGCTCTAATTCATATGCCAGAAAATGTATTTTCCCCACTTCTAAAGTCTATTGTTTTCAGAGCACTGAGAAAAATGATGAAATTCGCGTCATATGAAATTATGTTTCTGTAGCAATGACATTCTGTGCAAGCTGTGTGAGCTATAAGATGTTTGGAAAAGTTTTTTGCGCGCACCTGCTTTTCTCTCTGCCGGTTGTTAAGGTGAGAGACAAAAAGATGGTCAAATCTTTTGCTTTCTAGCTAGAAAATAAAAGCTGATTATCAGTAGCCTCATGTTCAGAGTTTCATTGGACTTATCAGATTCTCAGCTGCCTTCTGAACAGCCTGGGCCTCCTATTCCAAAATGTTGGAATACATGTTAGAATGTATTTTGTATTGCAATGACTACAGAATTATTCAGCCAGTAGATGGCAGTGTTTAGTTTGCATCTATGGTTATAATCTATGGCTCCTTTATGTTCTGAGGAGTTTCCTGTGACAGTTAAAAAATAGTTAAAAACCGTTAAGCAGCAAGGCGATGATGACTGTACACTGTACATTTTATTTAATCTATATGGTTATGTAACTAATCTGTATGGCTATATAATAATCCTCTGCTACAATTTCTATAGAATAAAGCAGGATTCCTATGGAATAAAACAGAATTTTCCAACAGGATATGGGCCCAGAGTGAGGGTGTATAACCCAGAGATAAACCCAGTATAAACCCAGATTAGAGGATGAAAGAATCCCTGAAAGGATTAGAGCATACAGAGGGTGCCTAACTTGACCTCTGATTCCCTGCTGAAGCTGAGCTCCATTGTGCCATCTGCATAGATAAAGCCTCTAGGGCAATTGTGGCCCTTTTACAACCTGTGGACTTCAACTCCCAGAACTCCTGAGACAAACTGTCTCAGGAATTCTGGGAGTTGAAGTCCACAGGTTGTAAAAGGGCCACAATTGCCCACCCCTGCTCTAGGTGAATTGCCAGGTAGCTAAAGTAACTTCTTGTAAAATGCAAAATGTGGATTCTGCTTGTTTGCTGTAACTTAAAATGTGTATTCTCAGCAACCTAATGAAATAATAATAATGCTAACAATGCTCTGAGTTATATGCCAGAAGATTTCTTTCTTTCTTTATTTCTTTGTTTTCAGAGTGTTGAGAAAAATAATGAGGTTTGCATGATATGAAATAATGTTTCTATAGCAATGACGATCTATGCAAGCTGTGTGAACTATAAGAAGTTTGGAAAAGGTTTCTTTCTTTCTTTTTTTTTTTTGCATGTGCCCGCTTTTCTCTCTTTGCCTGCTCTATTTTAGGTGGGAGACTAAAAAGGGTCGCCCAGTTTTGCTTTCTGCAGAAAATAAAGCTGATTATTAGTAGCCTTGTGTTCAGAGTTTCATTGGATTTATCAGATTCTGAGCTGCATTCAAAAACCTTACAAGGAGAAATATAAAATTCAGCACAGAACAGAGTAAATCAGTCGTAGCCAGCTACAGAAAATAAGTGCAAGATACAGCAACAGAAAAAGAAGACTGCAATAAAATAAATAAATAAAATAAAATGGCCAGTAACACAGGTGAAGCAAATATTTTATTTGCAAATTTGACAAACCAGAACTACCAGTCTTGGAAATTTAAGATGAAAATGCTGCTAATAAGAGAAGGCATATTCTCCCCAATTTGGGTCTGAGTCAGTTGCCGAAGCCGATGAAGAACACCAGGTAAGAGGTGCAGGTTTTGTTTCCTTTTATTGAAGCACTCGAAGAAAAGGGGTCCTAGCTAGAAAATGCCAAGGAACCTCAAACAATAGAATTAAGAAAACTTATACATTTTCACTAATGTGGAAGGCAGGATAAATAAAACAAATAATCTAATAAACATTTTAGTATGATCTAATAATTGTCCTATTGGTCTCTAGCTGTCCCTATTCCTAAACCTTGGCTAATGAATGCTCCAGGAATTATCTAATACACGTTCTATTTGCTCCACGCCATCCCTATTCCTAACTTCTAGCTGAGGTATACAGGATATCTAACTCTTTGTTACTGTTATCAGTACTTTAACCACCTAGAATTGATACAAGTGTCACACATGTATATTCTCTGTGAATAAAAATTATTTGTTCTTGCCAATCAGATTCCACAATTACAGGCATCCCAGTTTTCTTTCAAGTGCATGCCATAGCCTTGTTTCATTTTACCAGACAGCCCATCAGATACATGGAAATGTATAAATGAAATTGGCCAGAACATTCTTCAGATGAGTGGATAGAGAAAGATCAGAAAGCACAATCTCTCTTAGCATAGAAGATGATCAAATCATACATATATGTAAATGTGAAACTGCTAAAGAAATGTGGGAAGGATTACAAAACATGCATGAAAGAACTAATCTAAGAAATAAACTGTATTTGATTAGAAAGCTATTCCAAACCAAGCTGATGAAAGGCCAAGATATGCAGGATTATATAAGGCACACCTTGGAAATGGTTAAACACCTCAGAGGCACAGGAGAAGAAATAAAAGATTTTCATGTTGCAGCACTATTAGTGGTTTACCAGAAAGTTATGAAATACTTGTCACTGCGCTTGAGGCATGTCCACATGATGAGCTAACATAGTAATATGTTAAGGGAAAGCTTATGGATGAGTATAAGCATACAACAGAAAGCACTAATACTGTAGTGATAGTGCTTCTGTCGCAAGTCTGTTTTAAAGATGACAAATAGGAATAAAAAGTTACAGGAAGCAAGAAACACATGAATGCTTTGTGTGCAAGAAAAAGGGTCATTTAAAAGCAGATTGCAGAATCTGGACAGAATGCAAAAATTACAAAACGCCAAAAGTTTAAAGAAAAAAAATTGATTTTGCCTCAGATAATGTATATATTTTTCAATCCAAAAGTTGCACCTCATCTTTGAAAGCATGGTGTGTTGATTCAGGAGTTACGAGTCACATGACAAATGACAGAAATTTCTTTACTCACCTTGACCACAGTAAAAGAAGAAAAAAAAATCGCTACATCTAGTGGGCAAATAATAGAATAAGAAGGAATAGGAGAGGGTTTTGTTTACTATCCTATTTCTCAGAGTGTCACCAGAAAGATACTTGTGAAAAATGTATGTCCCTGCTCTTGAAACTAATCTTTTGTCAGAGGAGAGGAGAGGAGAGGAGAGGAGAGGAGAGGAGAGGAGAGGAGAGGATAGAAGCTGGAAGGGACCTTGGACGTCTTCTAGTCCTGCCCCCTGCTCAAGCAGGAGAACCTATACAATCTCAGACAAGTGTCTCTTCTTAAAAATCTCCAGTGATAAGACAGCCCATGATTTCTGAAAGCAAGCTGTTCCAATGGTTAATTTTCCTTACTGTTAGGAAGTTTTTCCTTAATTCCAGGTTGCTTCTCTCTTTGATCAGTTTCCAACCATTATTTCTTTCCTGCCCTCTGGTGCTTTGGAGAATAATTTGACCCTTTTTGTGGCAGCTCCTGAAATACTGCTATCATGTCATCCCTAATTCTTATCTTTAGATTAGCCTGGGTGTCGGCAACCTGCAGCTCTGGAACCACATGCAGCTCTTTCGTCCCTCTGCTGTGGCTCTCTGTCGTGTGATCTCACCACTGGCTGGCACCACCCCTCGCCTTCCCTTCCCAGTCACTGCTCTCCTGGCCTGAGAAGGTAAGGGCGATGGAGGGGGATGGAGACTTGCTCCATATTCCAGAGTGGGAGAGAAGGCATGGATTTCCTCCATCTTCTGTGTTCCCAACTTGTACTGAAGCAAACCAAATGGGCCGGGATCTCCCAGCCTAAGTGGCACACCAAGCCTGCTTGCAAACTCCGCTGAGTGTGGCTCCAAATGTTCAGCTTGCACGCCCCTCCTGGCTTTGTCCCACCTTTGGCGGCACCCGCCTCCACCTGGATAGCTGAGCCCTCCCTTCTGCAGCAGGTGGGGGGGGGCACTTGCTCAAAAGCTCTGCCCACTTCTCACTGCCACCATCTGGCCCCCCTCTGCCAGCTCTCACCAGCTGGCAGGAAACACAGTGGCACTGGTAGCTGGAGCCTTCCTTGGACTGAGCAAGGAGACCCCTGCATATAGAGGTCGGCCAGTGCCATTGCGATGGCAGCAACAGGGAAGGTGCGCGTCCTGCCTGCTCCACTCCCACTGGCCAGAGGTGGGGCTCTACATTGTCCCTTCCCAGCCAGAGCACCACATTTGTTTGCTTGCTGGCCACCTCTGAGGAGGGAGCTGCCTTCGGCCCACCAGGGCCCCCACCGCAGCGGGGGAGAGGGAGAGGGAAGGCGGGGAAGTCTCCCTGACAGGATCCGGGTTGGAGTTGCCTTATTTTGCGTGGATCTCCAATGCTTGGCTTTGTCTGCCAGCCTCCACTCTCAATCCACAGCCCAAGTGGTTGGATTCACATGACACATGAAGCTGGGCAGGAGAGCACGGATAGATGGATGGATGGAGAGATGCATGGATGGATAGATGAAACAAAGACAGAGAGAGAGGGAGAGAGAGAAAGAGATGAGAGAGAAAGAGAGAGAGGGACAGGGAGAGAGAGGGAGAGAGAAAGGGAGAAAGAGAGAAAAAGAGAAAAAGAGCGAGGAGAAAGAGAGATGAGGAAGAGAAAGGGAGAAAGAGAGACGAGAGAGAGAGATGAGAGAGGGAGAAAGAGAGATGAGAGAGAGGGAGGGAGGGAGAGAGAGAGACAGAGACAGAGAGAGAAAGATGAGAGAGAGAAAAAAAGAGAGAAAGAGAAATGAGAGAAAGAGAGATGAGAAAGAGAGAGGAGGGAAAGAAAGAGAGAGACAGAGACAGAGAAAGAGAGAGAGACAGAGAGAGACAGAAACACCTGTTTCCCATAGAAAAGAAAACACTGGGAGCCACAAAACCTGGGTAGGCATGGCGTGGGGGGATCATGTGACTGGGTGGGAGTGAGTGATGTCAAGTTGGCCAAGCCCACCCAGGTTTTGTGGCTCCTGGTGTTTTGTTTTCTGTGGGAAACAAGTCCAAATGGCTCTTTGAGTGTTTAAGGTTGCAGACCCCTGGACTAGCCAGACCCAAAATCTGCAGCCGTTCTTTATATGGTTTGGTCTCCAAGCCTTTAATCATCTTAGTTGCTTTTCTTTGCACTTTTTCCAAAATCTCAACATCTTTTATGTAGTATGGTGGCCAAAATTGGTTGCAGTATTCCAGGAGTATAGTTTGCCAGTCAGCTACAAATCCATCTGGTGGTGATGTTGTCTATTTCACATTTTTCTACCTTACCAAGAAGTAGATTGTGGTCTAATTTGTCAAATGCCTTACTGAAATCTAAGTATACTATGTCCACAGCATTTCACTGGTTTACTAATTTAATGACTTTATCAAGGAATAAAATAAGATTGGTTGGCATGATTTGTTTTTAACAAACCCATGCTGGCTACTAGCTATAACTTTATTTACTTCTAGTTGTTTGCAGATTTGTTTTTTTATTATCTTTTCCAGGATCTTCCCAGGTATTGATGTTAGATTGATTGGTCTGTAGTTTCCTGGGTATGTTTTTCCCCCTTTCTTGAAGATGGGAACCACATCAGTCCTTTTCCAATCCTCAGGTACTTCCCCTGTGCTCGAGGATTTTTGAAAGATTTGGTACAGTGGTTCTAAGAGAACATCTGCCAGCTCCTTCAGAACTCTGGGATTTAATCTGTCAGGTCCTGGTGATTTATATTCATCAAGGTCAGATAGGTGTTCTCTTTTCTTGCTTATTTTAATTTTTATTTCTGGTTTGTCTTTTACAGCAGCTGTTTTGGTACACTGGGGTGTAATTTCTTTTTGTGTGAAGACTGATGCAAAGAATGAGTTAAGCAGCTCTGCTTTCTCCCTACTGCCTGTTACTTCCTTGCCATCTACTCTCTTTAATGGACTACTGTTTCCTTGACTTTTTTCTTGTTATTAATATGTTGGAAGAAACTTTTTTTTTATTATCTATGACTTTTGTAGCAAGCCTTAGTTCATTCTGAGCCTTTGCTTTCCTGACTTCATCTTTGCAAATTGCTACTGATACTCTGCCTTAGTTATGTGTCTCTCTTTCCATTTTCTGTACTAATCCTTTTTGTCTTTCAGTTTGTTAGACAGATCTTTGTGCAGCCATGATGGTTTCTTCTTGAATTTCTTGTTTTTCTTTTTCAGTGGTATTCAGTGTTTTGTGAAGAAGCTCACAAAACAAGATGATGTAGTGATCTTTAAAAGGGACATTTGTATCATCACAAAAGGGGATATCTTACTTGCAAAGGCTAAAATTACAGATAAACTATATCAACTGAACTGTAATCAGGAAGTTAATACTGCCAAGGAGGAAAAACATTCAAACTGCATTCACACATGGCACAGATGACTTGAACATGAA